CTCCAGGGTCTGGTTTACATCCAAACACTACATATCTACTGTCAACAGATGAAAGTTTCACTTCCTCTCCTGGTGTCGCTGAAAGGTTTGTTCTGGCTGCTCTGTGACCAGAGATTTCAGGTTCAGCACAGAACTCCTTCACCTGCAGGTATTTGTAGATGAAGTGTGACTGGCTTTCAGTTCTGTGGTGTTATACATTTAGTTTGACTGTCCATGTCTGAAAGTCAGGTTTCAGGGGAGCAAACAGACACCCATCCCCTTCAGAAGAAGAATGCGATAAGCCAGCACATACATCGGTCACTATATTTATGGAATATAAAAAACAAGAAAAAATTTGAGTCAAGAGTGTCTTTAAAAAAGAAAAAGAAAAAAAGACACTTGGAGATGCACTTATGTTCACACTTCAAGGGCATAAAGAACAAAATATCGACACACCTCAGCTTCAGCCTCGGGATGACCAGGTACAGCCAACCCCCAGAGTGTGTGGTCAGTTTTAGACCAGTGGGTGCAGGGGGCACAAAGAAACACAAGACATTAAAAGGGACATCTCAAACGGCAGAGGGAGAATTCATACAAACAGCCTTCAAAAAGCACACAGAGGCAAAACACAGGCATCGGCAGCCTGTTTCAACCACACTGTCACTGTTGGCTCAGTTTTCCTTTGAAGTTCAACAGCTGTGTCTGGAGGCTCATCAGGAGAGCAGAATATAACTCTGGACATACAGTGAGCATTTTTAGAGGCCTCTTTTACACAGTTTATTTATTACTGACCTTATAAAAATGTTGGGGAAGCAACGTCTTCGATGCCTGGAGGAGAAAATATCTCATGGTTTCTTTACATTATAATGAAGAAGCATAACATCAACGGAGCACCAACAAATCAAAGAATTTCATGTGCACACGAGTAACCATGTGCTACAAGTCAAACTAGACCACACAGCCTTGCTAGGATTTCCACAACAATGTGAGGAAAAATGCCCCCGCAGTGAAACGCCTTCCTGAACACCACGCAAGCCACAAACTCAATGAGCTCACTTCCTGTTCAAAGTGCTTCACTGGCTCCAATTGGTCAGTCTACTTCTAAAAACACCAACTGCAAGAGATGCTGGGTTTTAACACACAAACATGCAATGAGCTACAAATATAGCATCAAACCCAGTAAAAGGTTGCAAAAACACAGTCATATAGCAGAAAACAGTCAACATGCACGCAGGCCAACAGTGACAGGTTCTACCTTAAAGCCAACAATGCGCTGTACAGGAAGGAAGTCATGCAGCTCTTTATATAAACAAAGAAATGCAAAAAATATCTAACGCTGCACTTTTACAACTCCAATTTTTGATTTGAAACATTTCCCACAATGGCCTAAATCATCCAGAAATATTTTAGGGAGTACTACCAGATCAGAGGTCATCTTGCCACCGAACGGGGTGTGATCAGTTTTGGTCAGGACACAATGGCTGCAAAGAGGTAAGGCTTCATTACCACTAATTTATATTTGACAGCACTGTAAAGACATGTGCAGTAGATTAGCAAAAAAGCATTGCCCAAATTTTCTCCAGTGAGGACTGTCTCAGCTCACAAAGAGCCTGTAACCCCTTAACAACGTACAGTATCTGAAACCTTTACAGCTGCCACATCTGGAAATATGTGGTTTTAACTGGACAGTGGCCATTTGCAAATTAAGGCCCTCATAAACAAACAAAGTGCACAGACACAGCTGATCGACTGGGATGGTGCAAAAGCTCCTCTCTACAAAACGATGCTTGTGGTTTTATCAGCTCTGAGAGTGGTCACACAGGGGGGTTCAGATATCCCATCAGCCATCAGCAGAGGATCCGCCATTATGTCCACTGATTACTTAAGTATCTACAAAGCCAACAAGCACCACTTCAGGAACAGTCTGGAAAATATTATAATGTAGATAACCACAGGTTTTCATTTAGCAGCAGACAAGCACTGCTTCAAACCACAGCCAGACGTGTGCTGCAGAACAGACGTATGTAAACATACCACAGCTGAAATGATTCACTGATTCACTGATTCACTGATTAACTGATCGGTCGTTCAACAGAAAATTTATAAGCAACAAAATTTCTTGTTCCACCTTCTCACTTTTGAATATTTAGCTGTTTTCTTAGTCGTCTATGATTGTACCTCAATGTCTCTGGGTTTGGAATATTGATAAAATAAGGTATGTGAACACACCGTCTTTTTCACTGTTTGCAGACATTTGATGAACCCAAAGATGAACCAATAAAATAAAGACTAAATTATTAGTAGCTATGTCTCTGACTGAAATACTTTTAGTGAAGCAAAATTAAACTCTATACCAAAGTATTAACTGTCGAGCCAAGCCCACACTTTCAATTTAACGTTAAGGAAAGGAAAAACAAAACAAGTGTGCACCAGAACTGAAGTGGGGCAGTTGACTTTGAGGGCGTGTAAGTAGCCTTGATAGCTGCCCTGAGATTTGCCTGTCTCAGTACTAAGACTGCAGATTAGCAAGCAAGGCCCAGTTGCTAGCTGTAATCAGAACGCTGATCTAGTATAATCGCTTTTCAGTGGTAAGCAAGCACACTGGTTTCAGGCACGGCTCAGAGAAGGCTTCTGATGCAGCAGGAGGTCAAGGAACAGATTTCCAATTCAGACATAAGAAACAGGAGTCCCATGAGGAGTGTTAAAGGGAAATTGATTTTTTTTAAAGCAAATATGTCATTAAACAACGTATTTGGTAGCTGTGTGTCTGTGCTGATTTGCTCTGATGTCAGTCACAGTGCACAGCTCCAGTGCAAGTCGTACTTAAGGATAAAGTGAAGCTGGTGTCTTTCAGCGTGCCTCACGGGCACTCACAGGCGCTCCTCAAAACAAATTTCACTTTAGAGGGAGACACGAGGCAGTTGTTTATGGAAAGGTGGAGGTCTGCTCTGGAAAGAAGCAGGAGGTTCACCTTGGATGGCAGAAAGGATAGTTTACAAACTATCAGGAAGCTGAATAAAACTGTCCTCAAGTTAAAAATGGAATGCTGCACTAAGCTGTTTTTATCCCATTTTATCAGATTTGAATCCAACTAGAACGACAAGAAAATGTTAGATTTGGAATGATGAGTGGATGAACTGGAAAGGTGTACAAGAATGGATGACATTACCGCTGCGCTCATATGCGAGGCTTACAGTCGGGGGTGGAGAGGGAGAGGATGCTTTCCCAGGTGAACCGCCCTCCCTGAAGCAACAAGTGCTTCAGTTCTTTGCTTCTAACATCATCAGCACAGAAATCAGAGTTATTTTGCTTTGCCATACACTTCCAAAGAAGGCCAGCACGACAAAATGGGCCATTTTTTGGAGGTCATTCTCAGGTATTTGCATGTTTGCATACATCAGTGGTATCATTGCACATGTGCAAGTACAGTATGCATGAAAGCAGACTGCACTGTGTCTCTCCAACATCACTTAAAAGACAGCACAGCCAGGCAGGGATAACACCTACCTTAACAATTATTTATTGTGTCCTTACTGAGCACACCCTTTAAACATTCACAGTGTTGGCAGAAAAAGTAGGTGGCACCAGTGACTTGGAAAAAAAAAAACTATTTGGTAGCTGTACATCACACCTAACTGCTTCAGTTCTCGGCCATAATCTTAAGGCAAATCCAAATTCCCTTATTTTCATCCACATTTCATTCACTTGCATCTTTCCCTTGTCTTAGTCCTGCCCACATAAGATGGAAGGAAAAGATGCAAAGAAAAAGGTGAGAAGAGAGGAATCGAGGAAGCACGGTTTTAAGAGACAGGAGATGTACTTTCCTCAGATCCTTCCACATAGGATTTCCATTAAGGATTCTCTCACATATCCTCCCTCACAGCTTCTCCAGGCAGCCTCCTTGCTCCTCGGTGCAGGAACAAGAGCTTTGAGACGTCCTTTAAGATGGTGGGCCAGAGCAACTTCTGGGTCAAGTGAGAAACGATCAGTTAAGAGAATTGGGATGTACCCTTATGATATCTGGTGTGAACAGCTCTTTGAGGTCATGTCACACCATCACAGCTGGGTTAAGGACCTGACTCCAGTTAGCTTTTGTTGATGTCATTTTCTTAGGAGTTCATATAGAACCACATGTTAATACAGATTGGGTTTGTTTCTAACTGTAACTCAGATGATGATCTGACCACACTTAATAATATAAATGTATAGATAAATGGAGGTAATTCACTCCAACCACCTTATGTTTAACTTTTGGAAACTTGGTCTAAGGTTTTAACGAGGGCACGTTTGTACCACGTTCGATTAGACAAATAATTACCAGACTACTGCACAATGACAATTAACATTAGTAACCTAAATCCACCAGGTGACTCCTGTAAAAGCATACAAACCATTTTTCCCCTAAAATAAAACAGGGCAAATGTGTTATTTCTAAAAGCAAAAAAAAAAACGGAAGGTGTGCTCATATTTTCCATTCAGAAGTTCAGAATAAAACACCGCTCCTCCCTTAAGCCCTTAGTTTACAAAACCTTAACATTCACAGCCCTTAGTGAGCTCTCCTCGATTCGGCACAGTGACTTATGGAGTCCAAACTAAATAAATCCCTGTAGCCTTCAACCCTTTCCAACTGCGCCCAAGTGTCCCGACAGCCAAAGTTGCAGAGAAACAGTGTAGCGGTTGTAGGAAAAGCCATGTGTAACCCTGGAGCGGTGTAATGGCAACATCCCGGGAGGATGTTGGAGCCGCTCTGCTAATCTCAAACTGTGTAGCTGAATCTGTAGGCGCCAGCAGCGGAAACCACGGTTTCCACTCGTTTAATTAGAGGTTATTAAAGCGTTTGATGACCCTCCACAGGCGGAAAGTGAGCTAGGTAAAACTGCTCCAAGAAGAGCCGGACATGCCTCCTCCCGCCTGCCTACTGAGGAAAATTCCCTTCTTTCCCCTCTTGTAGTTACAAGCAGTCCACAGCCGAACCCCCAGCTCCAAAAACACTGGCACCATGTCTTCATTTCTCCACTCACCTCACTCTGGGTCGAGATGTTCACATGGAGCACAGATATGCCCGCAGGTTTCAACTTATCCCGTTAGTAAAGACACGGAAGAGCCGGAAAGACAAGCTCGGTGCACGACCCTGTGACTGTTTGTTTGTGCGCGTGTGTGTGCGTCTGCCGAGTCCCTCTGCCTTCTCTCCAGCACTGAGTCCCTCCTTGAGGGCGGGGCTAAGCCGGGAGGGGTTGGCTGTAGCGTGGATGCTGCCACAGTCAGTGGCAGGAGCGCACAAAATGGGGGCCCCGACACCGCCAGGGGCCCCAGCATCACCCAAGACCACCTTTAAAATAAGTAGGAACTGGCTTTTTTCTATCCCTTCCTTTGTTCTTCAATGGTTCAAATAAATTATTCAGTAATGTTTTAATTTATGGGTCTTAGGAGATAGAGCAGTAGTCCCCTAACCGGGAGGTTGGTGGTTCGATTCCCAAGTGTCCTTGGGCAAGACCCCAGTTGCTCTGGATGGCCAGAGCAGCACTTTGCAGAGACAGTGCCGCCATCGGTGTGTGTGTGTGAGTTGGCACCACAGATGGCTGCATCGGTTATGAACCGGAGACAAATTCCTTCTGTGTGTAACATACTTGGCCACTAAAAGTGATTATATATATTTTTTTTCCTGCTAATTTCCTGGAAACCTGCCTATACATACTGTATGTAACCTTCTGTTTGCTTCCCACCCTTACTCCTATTTTTGTCAAGCAGTTGAACACACCTCTTTTTTCCCTTCTTTATGTTGTTCAACAATAAAACAAACCACCAACATGTTTTTGAGTGTGCAAGTGTGGAACATGACACTATACAATACCTATGCCCTTTGCAGGTATGAGACACCTACAGTGACACTGCTGGCCTCATCAGTCTGTTAAAGTGACAGCTTTCTGTCATTCAGACATACGCCCAGCTGTGATGGCAAGAGCCATGCTACACGCCCAGTATCTGTCAGGATCATCCAAATCCTGTGCATATCTATCCTCTAAAGATTGGTTTATGGTTCTGCATTGAATCTACATAGACCCTGCACTGTAGGCTTCACAAGTGGCCCCCCAAGGTATTTATATGCCACCACCGATTGCATCACTAACTTTGTGTCTCCTCGCACCCATAGTTTCTCCTCTCTCTCTCTCTCTCTCCCTGCACCTTTCAGCAGGTAGCCGTGGCTCTGTAGCTCTATGTTTCTGATGAACAGTCACCGACCACATCGACCTGCCCAGTGTTTGCTTGTTTGTTGTGTCCTGAGGCTTTTCTTTTCTCTCTCCTCTATCCATTCACCCCAGCCACTAAAGACAACACAGCCGCCCACCAAGAGCCAGGCTTCCTTACATTTATCCATGTTTAGCATTGCCAGCTTTATTTGTTTGTTTTTTTTCCTGTAATGCATTTTTTCAGCACTGTCTACAAGAATTGACACAAATGTGCTTAGCATTTATATAGTATTTGCAACCGTGAATATGATTTGAAGGAACTGTAATGCCTGTAATGTGCTAGACATGGTTAAGGATGTGCAGAGTACAGATTGCACTGGCCAGATGGCTGAACTCTGGTTCAACACGTTCTGTTGTATAAGTGATGGTGCAGGGCTCTGTGGTCCTGAAGCACATTGAGAGTAACCACTGTACCAGAGTCAAATTCCTTGTGTGCTCAACATACTTGGAGAATAAAGCTGATTCTGATTTAGATTCTAAACAGGGAGGCTCCCAGACCTGTTCATGATACCACCTGTTAGGATGCCTTTCACAGCATCCTAGTAGAAGGGCTTCAAGATCCCTAGAGAGACTCTGGCTCTCTTAAGCTGTCTGAGGTGATAAATGGGCTGCCTCACTCTTTTCCTTCTTTTCAATTATTAATCATTCAGTGATTCTGTTACTTTTGTTGTCCAGTGTGATGGAAATTTTAAAGTGAGTCTGGAGAAACAAAGAGTGAACAACCAAGAAGTAGGAATGGGCGTATCGATGTTCTGGTATCGATACTTCAATACCCGCCGGTCGATATTTTGGAGTCGATACTTTTTAAAATATTGCGATACCACTTTGCTAATACAAAAAGTGTGATTTGTTTTCACTTCTAAGAGTTTTAGGTATTAAATTGCATGAAAATCAACCTGGGCATATTTTAGATGGTCTTCCATGTCACATGATTATGGCAGCCTCCTATCAAATCTCATAGACAAAGGCTCACTGCGCAGCCTCAGTCAAGCACTGCCTCAATCCTTACTCTGCTGCTGAGTGAGCTCAGTCAGCAGCACCACGGCATGGCAGCATAGATGGCTGAGAGAAAAAAAGAAGCATAGTGTGGTGTTATTTTTTAGCCATAACCAAAGGTAATGCCATGTGCTCTCTCTGCAATAAATGGTGCCCTCTTGACCTCTTGCCTGGCAGCTCCATCTCCAACATCCTTCTACCAATATAACCACTATCCCTCCTCTGTACATGTCCAAATCATCTCAGTCTGGCCTCTCTGACCTTGTCCCCAAAACAGCCGACCTGAGCTGTCCGTCTGATGTGCTCATTCCTAATCCTGTCCATCCTGGTCACTCCTAAAGAGAACCTCAACATCCTCATCTCTGCTACCTCCATCTCTGCCTCTTGTCTTTTCCTCACTGCTACAGTCTCTAACCCATATAGCATACAGTAGCTGGTCTCATTACTGTCTTGTACACCTTTCCTTTGATTCTTGCTGACACTCTTCTGTCACACAACACTCCTGACACCTTTCTCCACCCACTCCAACCTGCCTGCACTCACCTCTTCACCTCTTTCCTACACTCCCCATCACACTGGACTGTTGACCCCAAATACTTAAACTCCTGCACCTTCTTGACCTCAGCCCCCTGTAACCTCACTGTTCCACTTCCCTCCCTCTCATTCATACACATGTATTCTGTCTTACCATGACTAACTTTCATTCCTCTTCTTTCCAGAGCAGACCTCCACCTTTCCAGGTGTTCCTCCACCTGCTCTCTGCTCTCACTACAGATCACAATGTCATCCGCAAACATCATTGTCCACGGAGATTCCTGTCTGACCTCATCTGTCAACCTGTCCATCACCATAGCAAACAAGAAGGGACTCAAAGCCGATCCTTGATGTAGCCCCACCTCCACCTTGAACTCCTCTGTCTGACCTACAGCACATCTCACTACTGTCGTACTCCTCTCATACATATCCTGAACTCCTCTGAC